TTTTTTTTAAATCCAATGGTTTAGATTTGGCCACATATGCATTTTTTCTTAGTTATTGAATTATAATTTTTTTTGTTGGTTATTCACCAAATTCACCCATCTAGTTATATATAAATGACAAAAAAAAAAGTGTAGGGAATTCATGTCTTATTTCTCTTTGAATCTTTACAAGTATCGTATCCTTGGAAAACCTATGTTGTATATATTCTTCAGATTCTTAATTTCTATCAACCATTCGTTATACACACGTACTAGAACGATGTTGCATGTGACGTACAAATGAGAAGATCAGGCAAATTAAAGGCGTTTGATCCGATAATTTTTTTTAATGAAATATCGAAAATTCCTTCTTTTTTTCCCCGTCTCGTCGTTACAGTTCTCTATTTCAAGAAAAATCTGGTTAGACATTAAGAGATACACATCTACGAATCTCTTCTAATTTTGTAAAGAATATACAGCATATGTCACTTAATGTGTATCAAGCTCTAGTTTTGACTTTTGATTATTAAATCGTAGTATGCGACTACTAATTGGTGTTTTCTTCATATTGCAAGCAGAGAACCAAAAAGCAAACCCCAAATATATAAAATACTTGAAACCACAACTTCCTTTGTATCTTTGGACATCCAAAGTTGAAACACACAAGCTGTTCCCTAATGAAACATTTTTCGATTGTTTCTTACACTAACACTAAGCAAATATTAAATATATATTTGATAAGAGATCCATGATTTAAGAGTCACTGCTGCAACGAAGGCGCCTTTAGATTTTGAGCAAATTCGTGAGAGTTTAGCTTCTCATTCATCACTCTGAATTTCTCTTTTATCCTCTTTATCTGTCCAAAATCATTACAAACAAAAATTTATACATTAGAATGATTCATTAAATTCTCCTGCAGAGTTTAAAAATGAAATTAAGGGTTTAAGTCTGGTTTACCCTTCTCAGCTCGAGCTCCGTGCTCCGTTTCTTTTGATCAAGTGATTGCCGGAGATTCGTGATGTCGAAAATACTATCGAGGTCGTCTTCAAATGCGTTTTCCAACTCTTCCCGGAGAAGTGCAGGCAACTTATCCACGATGGGCATTAGAAGAAAACAGTTGAACTGCAACACAAGACAAATATATATATATATATTTTATGTTTTTTTAAAAGGAAAGTCAACACGAAAGCAAGAACCTGAGTAAAATCGAAGTAGGAGCAAACCTTTAACTCAGCTGAGGCTAGAAAGTATTCTCGTATGCCCTGGAATATCTGCTGGACTAATGCGTAGACAATTCTCTCAGAGGAAGGAGCAAGCTTGCGGTTCCAAAGCGTGCTATCTAGAAGATCAGCCAACCGCATTTCTGTTGTTTGAATACTTGAACCTGAATCGATGTTTGACGCGAGATGGCTTAGCTTTACATCTGATCTTGACTTTGTCTCTGTTGTGCTGCCTGGTGCATCTTGAGGAAGACTAAATCCTATGGGATTACCTGATGTAGTAAGTTGCTCTGTTCCGCCAAATGAGTCCAAGAYTTGACGTAGACCAGCTCGGTTCTACATAACATAGAGGAGAGAAAACTACTAAATTAGAAATGGCTACCAAATTCAGATGAGTTTTTATGCATCCGTAATGAAAACTGTTTTACTCTAGTGTTAATTAATTTGATATGCACAGAACTCAATTCAATTGAAACAGAGCTATAAAGCTGTAGCAGTGACCTTGTTGTGAAGAGACCACGTAACATAGCGAGTCGTACTTGCTAAATCCTCCATACATCTGCAATCAATATAAAACCCAAAAGGAGATTAATCACTGAAACTCACCAGAAGACAGGTAGGAGGAACTGGAAAATTGAATTCATGATCACCAACAACCGACAAGTGCAGGAGTTAGAAATAGATTTACTTGTCACGACATGATTTTTCTGTGGACTCCACAAAACTGTTGAAAGCTGAAGCAACCCGCTTGAGAAACACCTCATGCCCACTTAAGTATTCACCTTCTTTCTATTCAAACTCAAAACATATATCAAGCAAATTGCTGGGAAGGAAAAATGAGTAGGAAACCATCAAACCAAAGAAACAGTGCCCACCTGAAGAAGATATACAGAAATTGGAAGCAATCTCTTGAGAATGTGTAGAAGCCTGGCTCCCAACTACACCAACAACAAAACAAACAGAAATGAGAACTGAAAAACACTTTATGTATGGAGTAAGAACATGTGACCAACAAAATTTCAGATCAAAAAACCCCAAACATAGTTTTGTAAGCAGAGCACATGTTTACTCAATCATTCTCAAGCACAAATAAAGTCTACCAAAACTCAAGACTGAATGGCAGTATGATGCCAATATGTAAGGTAGTATATCAATATTTCCTATCATGAATAACTAAACTATCCTCCACGAAAAAAGTAAAAAATAGTAGATATATCTTTGTAACCTGATGAAGAAAAGGTTCAAAAGTGTCACGAGCCTTTGCAACTGCTATAACGCAAGCTGTTCTACAACAAGAAGTAAGAGAAAAGAGAATAAGAGGTCCCATGGCAAACATGAAGAACATTGCAAGTCAGATGAAATACTACAAATGGGTCTGATATGCAAAGCCAATAAAATTCAGAACTGTGTTGCATCTCAGTCGATGCTATGATACCTGGAATAGTTAGTTCCATCATGAATATCCTCAACTCCACATGCATTTACAATTTCCTCCCGTGTTATTGGGGGGCATTTGATAGCACCAACTAAAAAACGGAACTCAGCCATGGCACGGTGATATTGTGCACCACCATAAAGACGCATCCCTGCATTCTGTAAATCAAAAAGAATTTGGTTATCTTCCCTTATAACACTTGAAGGTGAACAATGGAGCATCCCTTTTCTTTGTGCTCCTTCGTAGTTTTTGACTCATTAAAAATTTTCATGCAGTCAAATTATCTTCAATCATATTACAATCCATGTAAAAGGGCACCACATATGTTTTGAAGACTACGGCCAGCTTGCTCTGCAGAGTAAACAATTTTCTGCTTATAATTCCAAGGTAAACGCTTACAGGTATAAGCTTGTGTGGGAACTGGAGACCATCCGTACCAACAAACGCTCCTCCTTGCGTCCTTTCATCTTGCAATGTTTCACCTGAAAAAACATCATGATAAACCATTAACTATCACCAACATAAAGAGAACGTCGTTATAATGTGTTTCCGCAAATAACCAAAGTTTCATGACCAAATGATAGATTGATTAGCATACATCACAGTCTGGTGACCAACTCAAATTGAGCAATATGCATTTTTCACGAAACTGATCTTGCAAAAGTCCAATTCAACAACCACAAATAAGAGAGATTATTGCCAAAGACAGTTGACTGGTAGAGTGAAGTAACAATACCAAATTTATCCGGAGGGGCCACAACTGTTCCTTTCAGTAGCAGCGATAACTGGTCAAGAAAATAAAACAAAAGCAGGTGAGAAAACACAACACTGATCAACAATAACAAAGGTACTTCGTATGTCAATCTGAAAATATGTACAGCAAGTTCTTAAGGGCATCCAACACGGCAAAATTTCCAGTCATTCTAAACTAGTGGCAGGTCCTAGATATCATCTACTGTTGCATATAGTTTTTATGTGTCCATAGTCAATAAACGAAAAGGGGTTATCTTTTATAAAATTGAACTTGCTGTAACTATACAAAAACTAAAATTCATGACTTTTTAACAACATGCGAAGGCATAAGTATCAATCAAACTATGCTCTACAGAAACCTTGGTTAAGAATAGATCATGGAAAGTCCTGCCTCTCTCTTTGAGTTTTGCTTCATCTAAAGAGCTGCAAGGAAAGAAAATTGGACGACCAAAGAGTTAGACTTTCTCAAATCAGAAGAGAATAACTAAATTGCATAAAATCAACTAGAAATTTTCAGACGAAAATAATTGCAACCTTAGTTCCTTGCTGACTGTATCCAGCTTTCTGACTGTACTGCGATACTCCTTTCCTAAAAGTGGAATGATTAATGGAACACTCTCTTTGTACCTGGAAAGAGAATGACATCAAGACTATAGCGTAATAGTAAACCATAGAGATAACAGAGGCTAGAAAGTCACAAAGAAAAAAAAACCGGTTATACCTTTTCCAGAGTAGTTCTTCAAGAAACAACCTCAGTTTACTGATGCCAATCCTATTCTTTTCCTGCTTTGTCAGCAAACGGCCCAACTTCTTCTCTAAAGATGCAATGTCTTCAATTTCTCTAAGTGATACAGCCTGCAATAGAAAACATGCACGGTTTAGAATCCATGAGAAGATCTAGGAATCAGACAGCAGAGCATAGACCTGTTTGAACTCGTCATTAGACGTATACAGTGAATCCTGTGCATAGCCAACTCTTCCAGAAGGCACAGACGTGAAAAAAGGGGAATCGCCCAATAAGGAGCTGTCGAGTGCACTCGCAGGAGGTGAGAGGAAAACTTCCACGTCGGATGAACATGAGAATTGAGGGATTTTGGTGTCAAGCTTTGTGGAAACAACAATTGTCCTAGAAAGCTCAGGATCAACCTGCGCGAACACAAGAACAAAACTTGAGAAAAAAGAAAAAAGACGAGGTTAGATGCAATTGAGTTATGTCAAGTCTCATACTTGCATCACTATTCTTCGAGTAGTTGCAATGCTCCAGTCACTGCTATCTTCAAGGCATAAAATGATGAACTCTTTGTGTTGCATCTTTGCTCGAACTAGAGCTTCCACAGCCCGTGCTTGAACCTAATTAAAAAAAAAAAAAACAAGCAACTACTCTCAGATCAAGCAGAACAAAACATTAATTCAGCCACGGAATTCGCTGAAAGCCGTAGAAAAACAACCTGTAGTGCTCGGTTTTTCAGTCCCGGTGCAGGAGCTATAAGTCCAGGCGTATCAATGATAGTAAGGTTGGGACAATACTTATACTGCACTTTCACAATTATCTCCTTGGCAGAGAATGGACATGCCTCTTGCTCCAGCCTCATGTTCTCAGCTTCAATATATGCCTAAATCCAAATCACACCACAAATTCTAGTAACATGAACATTTGCTTCTCTACAATCCTCAAAATCAACCAGAATTTGGCAGAAACAAGCAATTGTAGAAGTAATAATTAACACCTGAATTTGCGAGAGAGATTTGGGGAGAGCAACGGAAGGATCATCATCGGAACCGAGATGACAAAGCGGGAACTGACACTGAGGATCGTATTTCATATGAAGAGTAATCGGCCGGCGAGTCTTAGTTCCACCGCCGACGTGATTAAACTGAAACCCCATGAGAGCTTCCACAAGCGCGCTCTTACCGTCCGTCTGCTGTCCGACCACAAGCACCGCCGGTGCTTCGAACGGCGTCTCCAATTCCTGCGCTAAAGCGTGTAACTCGTTGTAAGCCTCGTAGAGACTCCACCGTTCCTCAATCGCCGCCTCCGCCGCCGCAACGTCGTCTTCCTCCTCCGCCATTTCCTCAACCGTCACCGATTTTGACGCTGATAAATCCGTCATCGAGTCTTCGAAGAGGAAGAAGAGTGTGAGTGTGTGAGAGTCTTTTCTACACTTATTTCTCTTCCTCGCTGTTCCTTTCCGCCATTGAAATTAGCAGATACGGTTAGTTCAAATTATATTTTTTTTCCTTTTTATTGTTAAAAGGAAAAATACATTTTCTTGTAATCACATACGCGCATTTATGGCGCGTCGAGTAAACGTTGTAATACTTCTCCGCTAATTTGAAATAAAAGAGCGCGTGAATAAAATACGAGGGTTAACCAATAGGAATTTAAAAAAAAAAAAATACTTGTATAAAGAAAGAAATATTATCACAAAGAGATAACAAAAATACAATTTTTTTGTGATTACTGAGTGAGAGACCAGAAATCTTTTAGCAAATGAGGACTCTGAATTGGATATTTTCCTATTTCTGTAAAAGAGTAAGTAATTTTTTGTAAAAGAAAAGAGTAAGTTTTGAGGGAATGAAATGAAACTTGGATTAAATTTAAATAGTGACTTTTTATTGTTACATGACAGGAAAAAAATTAGTGATTTTTTTTTTATTGTTCAAGAGACATTGAATTTGAATCAAACAAAACTGCCTTAGAAGCCAAAAGGAGACTTAGTCCGGCTTCCACCTTCACCGTACTGCTCGTTCCATTTTCTCAACTCGTTCATGGTTGTCGCGTCGTACGCCACAGACGGACTTACCTGCAATTCCATTTCATAAAATGATGCAATGTCAATACTGCAAAGAACATAAAAAGACAACAAAAACAAAGGTTCGGTTTTCTTTATGACATTGATCCATGTACCTTAGCTTTAGACTGAATGAAGTCGTCCAAACTCAGAGGCCGTAGATCAGGAGATGAATTCGATTCCGCACCCTGAGAAATCGACATTACGAAAGCGTCGGGTGATTACAAAAACTGTGTTCCACAACAACAAGAAAAATCAACGTTGCGGGGTTGTGCAAGATATGCATGTCTTTACCTTGTTTTCTTCTTGTAATAATTCTTGAACAGGTCTGTATGCAGCAGCGATGCATAGATTCTGCAATGTCCAAAAAAAAAAAAAAGGAATTAGAAGAACTAATACAGTATAACTTTCTAGTGTCAATCATGCTTAGAAATAGAATGATCAAACCTTTAGATCGCTTCCTGAATATCCTTCGGTTTCCTTTGCAAGTTTATCAAACTGGAAATCAGGTTCAAGTTTTTCTGGAGTCAGAAATATCTTCAAAATCTTCAACCGGTTTTCCGCATCTGGTAAATCAACATATATCCTAAAAAACAATAGAATCCCAAAGATACAAAAAACCGTCAATGAGACAAATATTAACGCTATCTCTATTGCAGTCAGATGGTTTACAACAACTACATATGTTCTAAGAGAATCTGAAAACTCGAATCAGGGTTTTACCGTCTTGGTAGGCGACGAATAACAGCATCATCAAGATCAAATGGTCGGTTGGTGGCACCGAGAATGAGGATCCTTTGGCTATCTTTTGATCTGAGCCCATCCCAAGCTGCCATGAACTCATTTCTCATTCTTCGGGTTGCCTCGTGCTCGTGAGAGCCTCCACGAGCGCCCAACAAACTGTCAACCTACCCGACACCAAAAGTAGTTACAGTCAGTCCTTGAGAAACACACTTTACCCATCACAAAATTATTTCTCCTAGAAATAACCGAAATAAAAGTGATATCAATAAAGCTAAACGATTTCTCACCTCATCGACAAAAATGATAACAGGCGCTAGTTTGCTTGCAAAGGAGAACAGAGCCTTCGTGAGCTTCTCTGCATCTCCAAACCACTGTGCCAAACAATGGACCAAGTTGATATAGTCAGAACCAATCAGATGTGAAGTTGAAAAGAGATACATTGTGTTTATCACTAATTCAAGTAGGTCCCAGAAATTTACAGTCGGAATTAACCACATCCACCGTTTAGTCAGATATATATATTTTCCCTATTAATCGTTAAAATGTTCACAGAGAGATAATGTATTGTGGGACTATCAACGTAACACTACCATACAACATAGTTTAAGGTTCACATACCTTTGAGGTAAGTGTTGAACCGGTTATGCTAATGAAGTTTGCCCCAGCTTCTGTTGCAAGCGCCTTGGCAAGTAGCGTTTTACCCGTACCAGGAGGCCCAAAAAGCAATATGCCTTTACACGGCTGGAAAAAGACTTGTTCCATCAGGAAACCCAGCTGAGGAAAATATAAGACTATTGGAAAGAAAGTAATGGCATGCTAATGTAGTACCCGCAAGAGATTTCCACAGGTGAAAAGCTCTGGCCTTCTCATGGGAAGAATAACCAACTCATTTAGTGCCTTCTTCACATGTTCGAGAGCACCAATGTCGTCAAACTTGACCCCAATTTCTCCAGGGGCAACCACAGCCGAGACGAAATTGCTTTCATACTCATCCTTTGCTATATTCTGCACAAAAAAAAATTCATGCTAGCATCATTATTTCTCATATTCAACATCTATCTGCCAGATTGCCAGAGGGGGAAGAAACTAAACCTTTAAGTTATGGGAGGGCTTTCGAGAAATATCTTCTTGTTCCTTTAACCTTTTAACAGCAATCTCAATGCT